GAAGGTCCCGTGTCTGCACAAGGGTGAGACCAGCCGGTCGCCTCGGTTCTCTCCTGCGGTTTCGTCAGGCACAGCATGGAAGCAAACATAGCTTCACTTGGCGAGTCCTGTATCTCTTGGAGGATCGGGGTGGGAGGAGAGGAGATATGGAGACAGGATGAGGGCATGTGTCTGTGTGCACTCACTTGATAGGTGTGCGTCCTGGAGCAGTTACATCGTTAGGGCCTGAGGACAGGTACTTGCTGAGGAGCGCCGCAAAGTTGTTTTTCAGTGGTGGCTGCTGAGTAGTTACGTAGATGAGAGCACGGATGTTTCAGATTTGTTCTGTGGGGAGGAGTGGTCCCTAACGGGAAAAGCTGATTCTCAACCAGTAGCCTAAAGCTTCTGTGGTCCTCGGTCCTCGTCCCCGGGGTGGTCCTCGTCCCCGGTCCAGTCCTTGTCCCTGGTCCTTGTCCCCGGGGCGGTCCTCGTCCCTGGTACTAGTCCCCAAGGTACCCCTCATCCCTGGGTGGTCCTCGTCCCCGGTCCTCACCCCCATGGCGGCCCTCATCCCCGGCCCTCGTCCCTGGGTGGTCCTAGTCCCTGGGGTGGCCCACATCCCTGGGTGGTCCTCTCAGAACTGCCTGGGGCTCACTCTCCAGGAACCTTCAGAACTTGTGGCTCGTGTCTTTTCACAGTCCGGTCAGTGGTGTCTTGTGGTTGTGGGCGGATTTGTTTTTGGAAAAGCTCTTCGTGGTGGTTGTGTCGGGCGCTTCAAGCGTGTGGCTGTCCAGGAGATTCCGAACGCGCCGAGCAGAGCAGCCGAGTCGGCTGGACGTGGAGCTGGAGGGCAGCTTGTGACAAGCAGTGTCCACGCGTATACCCAGGGTCCGGTGTGTCGACAGGAAACGACTCGTTCGCGTTGACAGCTTGCTTGCTGCAGATGCTTGGTTCTTGGAGTTGGGGACAGGGTAAATCCTGAGCTGTGCCACGTCCCCATTACTGCCACTTGGGGCAGTGGTCTGTCTTTGCGACCTTGGGCCGTTACCGTGTCAGTGAACACACCGCGCCAGTTGTCATCGGGCCTGTTCTGCCTCGGCACTCCCGTGTCGGCAGAGAACTGTGCCCCCAGGGTTTACGGTGGCGATTGTCCGGAGGAGATTGCCAGGCCTTTCTTCCAAGGTGCCTCTGGGTAAACGTGAGCCTCCAGCCCTGTGGTTGGCAGCTGAGCCCACAAACTGTTTGCACCACCAGGGCCTCCAATTCTAGCTTTCCGACATGGTAAAGCTGTAAAGGCTTTACCTCTAAGGGTGGGATTATCTTGGAGAAAGGAAAAACAACCAGTTGGGAAAACCATTAAGATTGTCGTGGTTACAATAGCCAGGATGCAGTTGGAACTTTCTTAGGGAACAAACAGCAGAGGTGCCAACCAGCTTCTCCTCAGCCTGACAGCCCACAGAGCAAGTGGAGGATTTGTCCTCTGTCTGTGAATGGGTGAGGCCAGCGGGACAAAGGCCCTTTTGTCCCCTTCTGACCAATCGCATGGGGGGCGGGGAGGCTTTCCTTAACCTCTGGCTGGGGGATGTTGAAGCCCTCGGCTTAGGTTATCAGGAAGGGGAAATGTGGAAACACAAAGTCATCGTGGGGGATTAATTAAAGTTACCGTGAAGTCAGCACTCCCCTGAAATTACTCATCTCTCTCTCTTTTTTCATATTTTACTGTGTTTAAGGTGAGCGTGTACACGGCAAATTAGGTTCCCATTTAGCAGTTCCACGCAGGTTATTCTGTGATCACGGTTGCATTTTTCACCATGGCTTCACTCTGTTCTGGTTGTACTGTCTCCAGTCCTCTAGTCTCCCTGCTCCTCACCTCTTCTTTTTGCTTTGGAGCACCTTTTGACTCTTTGGATCTTTACGTTAATACATTGCTACTGGGCCTCCCTTGTGCCTTCCACACCCCATGGTAACAGACCATTGTTGTGTGTTGTAACTGCATCCCAGAGCTGGCTCAGAACCCACGACCCAGACAGCGGTCTTTCAGGCTCTCCAGGTTGATCTCAGCTCGGCATGATGTCGGCACTGGGATCTAGTTTAAGAAAACAGCCCAGGGGGGGCTTTGATGACACCAGAGTGTCACATAAAGGAAGGCTCAGGAATGTTGGCAGTTGATTTCAAAAGTTGACCAGTACTCTGTAGATGGCAGCAGGCTTTTGCTGTAGTATTTTTGGTAACCTGGTGTTCAGCTTCCACGTGGATGCCTGGCTTGTATACGCGTGCCCTGTAAGTACCATGCAGGCTTCCAGACTCACCTTCAGAGGCTGCAGCCATCGGTTGAGATGACCCAGGGTGGGAAGGTATGCTCTCCCCTTTGGCATGAAGGGGACCTCTCCTTACATGAGCTGAGGTTCACTATGCCCTCAAGCACCTCTCCCTGGCCCTTGGCCTCTCAGCCTGGCCTCTGTCCTGCTGGGGCGAGTGTTACAAAGCTCTTACCTCTGCTGATAGGGCACTAGGTACACCCTGCCACACACACACAGCAAGACTCCTGCCCAGAGGCACTCAGCGTTCTCGCTCTGTGGGCCGGCGCGCCTTCCACCCTGCCTCGTCCTCT